AGAAGGAGAAGGGGGTGGGGGGTGTTGGGGTCTGACAAAGAAGAAAGAAAAAGAGAAGAAGAAAGGGTAGGGGAGAGAGAAAAGGGAGGGCAAAATGGTAAGTTTAAGTGTGTTTTATTTCTATTTTAGACGAACCAAAAAGGAAAGTGAGAAGAAAGATATGGGACAGAGGGAGTACCTTTTAATTTTTTACTAATCCCAAAAGTATTGGTAAGAGCATTTAGATAATTTTACTAATCTCTATACCATTTTCATATAAGAATTGAAGATCAAGTTGGGAGTTGGGACAGAGGGAGTAATATAAGTGTGCAATGAAAAGTAGAGGTGCACAAATTTCACATCCCACTCGCCACTTTTTTACATCCCCAAATTATCATACCTATTACCCTTTTTGGAAATTTTAATTAGTGAAGAGACATGTTCACCCCTCAACTATCCAGCATTAAATCTACCTGATAGTAATTTTCCCAATAAATAACACTATTCAAGTCACTTGAGAAGTTCTTTTTGGGATGGTGGGAGTATTTATTAATAGAACCATGGAATAAGCAGGAGGGGTGCACAAATATAAAGCAATTGCTTGTTATGAACACCAATTTAATTTATCTTTTGGAGTGCAGAATTCATCAGACTAGGCCATCATGCCTACTGATCATGTAAGTGTATGCCATACAAATTAGAGAGAGAAGAGTGTATGAGTCTATATTCATGTGCCATGCTCTTTGAATTGTAGTTGATGTTAATTCATTTTTATCTGTCCAAGCACATCTACAAATTTGTATGGAATTTACCCCTTTTTAGAAATTTGTTATGGCGTGGTGGGGCAGACTCGTCCATGACAGAGCCCAGGAAAAGTCTGTCCTTTATGGAGACCTTAGAGAGACTTGACCTTGTTGTAGTCCATAGTTATCAAGGCGTCGCCTAGGCGACGCTTAGGCGTCTGGGCGAGGCTATGTGGACGCCTAGTTGGTCGCCTAGCTTTTTTCTCCCTGGGCGACTTAGTGACTATCTCGGAGACGCATCTACGTTTTAGAAGCGCAAGGGAAAGAGCGGGATAGAGAGAGAAGACGTAGGAGAAGATAGAATGAAGACTTATCTTTCTTAGCGATCATTTGTAGCGGTCTGCAGAGGCTTCCAGCAGCTCCAGTCTCTGCAGCGGCTCCCTGTGTCTTTCTAACTCTCTATAATCTATCATTTAGACTAGTGGACTAGGTCAAATAACTGGGCTAGGTTCATTAAAAGACTATTGGACCTTTACACAAGAGTATAAGGCCCAAACTTTAATAGGCCTTTTAAAAGCTCCCTTTATTGGAGTAGGCTTTTATATATATATATATATAGTATAATACTCAATTTCATAAAGGTGGTATCACTGTTCATTTTAATTAATTATATCATATTATATGCTTTAACATTAGTACCTATAAAATTTTTATGGTCGCCATAACCCACTCGCCCAGCGGGCGCCTAATCGCCTAGGCGATTGGAAGGTGCTCTAGCGCCCAGCCTCGCCTAGCCGCCGTAACAACTATGTTGTAGTCTAAGTAATTAAGCTTGCAATTGTGTGTAATATTGATAAAAGCAAACCAACAACCCAGTATGATCCTAACTTCATGGGGGTCTAGAGGTCAAGATGTACGTAGACTTGCCTCTATTTTAGAGACTCTTTCTGTGTGACCCTTGATGCATTGCTCCATTTACTACTCAAGACTTCATCGACAGTAAAAAGCAAAGGAAGTTAAATGTTTCATTCTGATTTAGTTCATTATGTACCAAAGCTACCATCCATCACAAATGGAGTTAATATAGTCATAATTGACAATGTTTTAGGCTTTTAGCTACGTTTGGTGCTTTTTGTTTCTATTGTTTTCTTTCTTTACCCTTAGGTTGCTCCTTGCTTCTTACTTTTTGTGAAGTTTTGGGTAGTAAATACAGCAATGCATCTAAGGTCAAACACAATCAGCCCCTTTAATATTACATGGGTAAGACTGCATACATCTTGACCCCCATACCCCAACGGAGTTGTCATTATACTGGGTTGTTCCGTTGCTGTTAGTATTATTGACCAAAACTAAAGCATTTTCAATTATGATTCTTTTACTCTATTGGCAATGTACATCAATAAAGGCAAACCCTATATATAATACTCACCGTAGTCTTGGTGAGCAAGTTTTAATATATTACAATATTGGTACTAGGAATGTTAACTAAAATAGAGTACCAATAGGAACCTGTCTTTAATAATTATTGGAAACTAATACTAATAATATGAAGACAATTGATTTATTAACCGAAGCCCGTCCACGAGCCCATATCATCACACCCCTTTTGGACCACAAGCATGCCCTCAAGCTTGCAAGGGTGATAAGTGTTGCAACAAAACTTCTCACGATCAAACAATTTTATTAAAATTCAACAAGCACCATATCAACTTGTCAGATGTGTACGTGTGTGCATGAAAGAAAACCAAGACTTTAATTTGATGCTTGAGATCTGGTGCACTTTAAAAGAGAAATGAATTCTATTCAAATGCTGAGGGAGCAGGATTATATATGAAAGTGTGTGTGCCTGTGTGTTATCGATATTGAAAGAGCACCATATATGCTCAAGTGTCATGTATGGTAACCTTAGAAATGACAGTTACACTTGATTTAGTGGTGATATTTTTCGGTGGCTTATGAGATGCTCATTTTCTGTTGATGAATTTTATGCCATGCTTCTGAATTCTGATATGTTTTCCTCATCTCCCATGGAGCCAAAGATTCATTATTTTTGGGCTTTGGGGTATGATGGGATAAAACAAAATGACTCTTTACACTGTGTGCGCTGCTTTTAATAGTCAAGTAGCAGTTAGTCAATTCAACTTTCCATGCTCATCACCGGTCATTTGGAAACAGCCGCTCTATATTATAAACATAGGGGTCAGGTTGCGTACATCCAACCCCTCTTTCACTAAGATGGGCGGAACCGCGGGAGCCTTGAGGAACTATAGTAATGTTGTTGTTGCTTCTGAATTCTGATACTCCCTCTGTCCCTATATATTTGGGACATGAGTGTGACACGAAAATTAAGATAATAAAATTGTTTGGTTGATATTAAAGCTAAAAATTAAGATAAAGTAAGAATGAATGTGAACCACACAAATAAGACCAAATATGGTGGACAAAAGTTGTGTGATGGACAAAAGGGTAAAAAGAGACAAAAATAGAGGGACGGATGGAGTATTAATTATCAGGAGAAAAAGTTGCCATCTTTCTGATTTTTCTTAATACAGATTGCTGTTTATGGTAAAAACTTTAACAACTCAGCAAAAGATGCATGGGAGCTGTTCCAGTCAACTGGAGTCGAAGCTTTAATTGCGTATGACTGTTCTGGTGCTGTACTACTAATGGGCACCCTTTTAGGTGGGCTGATTTCTGGAACTTGTGCTGGAGTTTGGACCAGGTTCAAGCATCCTGACAGAGTTATGATGGTGGGTTCTACTTCCATGTTGATTGGGATGATTTTGGTAAGAATGTTCTTCTTTTGGTATCCACATATGCTTACTGTTTATACGCTCACAGACACACACACATTCTCTCAGGCATAACTTGCAACTAACTTGATTTTCAAAGGACATGCGACATGTCGATTCAGTAGAGCACTGCAATGACTGCATACGAGCTGAACGATTCCTAACTTCTTGTTTCTTTATCTTGGCCCGGGGGTGGGGGGTTGGAGGATTGAGTGGAGTTGAAAGTTGAAACCCTCTCATTCTATGAACAAATTACAAAAGAAATATTAGGGAAGGAGTTTCCTGTTTTCCCAACACAGACCATGTTACAATACTTTGCTATGGGCAAGACATTCCTTTGCCATTTAACTTTTTCCTACCAAATATATGAAGCACATTTATTGTCAAACTTAAAGGTCCGTTTGGTACATTCAAATAGTAGGCTTGGATTTGCTGTCAAACTTTGAATTCGCGTTTTCCTAGCTCCGTATAAGTTACAACATATAATTACCTTCTTCCTTTGATGGGTTAAGTTTTCTTACATTGTGATGTAATGAAGGGGTAAAAGCTGGGTAGAATGAAGGTTCTGTTTGATTGCTAGAAACTCAGTTGCAAAACAAAGAAGTATTACTTGTACATGGAAAATAAGTTTGATAGAATTTGGAATGAGTATGGACAACTCGATTGGGTAATAAGACACTTGGGTTGAACCACATTAAAAGATTGAATCCAATCGATTAGTTAGTTTAACTCAAGAGCTTATATACCGGATTATTTTACTCTTGGACTTCCGATGTGGGATGCACTCTAACACTCCCCCTCAAGTAGACAACCGGGCCATTTTGAATCTAACCGGTTGACCACTTGCAAATGAACTCCCATTCCCTTAATATATTTTTTTTGAGCGCCAACACCTAAAGGACCACGAGCCGCTGGGTATGGACTTCCAGACGAGCAATCGTGTTAACGGGCCACAGGCCGTTGGATACATACTCCATACGGACAACTGGGCTAAAGACTAACGGGCCGCTAGGAATGAANGACAACCGGGCCATTTTGAATCTAACCGGTTGACCACTTGCAAATGAACTCCCATTCCCTTAATATATTTTTTTTGAGCGCCAACACCTAAAGGACCACGAGCCGCTGGGTATGGACTTCCAGACGAGCAATCGTGTTAACGGGCCACAGGCCGTTGGATACATACTCCATACGGACAACTGGGCTAAAGACTAACGGGCCGCTAGGAATGAACGTCTAGACGGACACCTTGACAAACGAGGTGGGCCAAAATCTGCTCTGATACCATGATAGAATTTGGAATGGGTATGGACAACTCGATTGGGTAATAAGACACTTGGGTTGAACCACATTAAAAGATTGAATCCAATCGATTAGTTAGTTTAACTCAAGAGCTTATATACCGGATTATTTTACTCTTGGACTTCCGATGTGGGATGCACTCTAACAAAGTTCTTACTTACTAATAATACACTGCGTAATACTTAACCGACAACAGCATTTAGTATTAAAAAAGGTTTCTTGAGTGACTTTATTTGAAAGAAAAGGATGCCATTTCCCACATAAATGCATAGAATTCAACATAATATAGAAATCTATCCCCCCCACGGAAAATGTATTCAATTGGAGCCTGGTTTAAGGGTATTAAGGTGAGACTCAATTACTGTTCTTTGAAAACTAACCTATCGAACTCTACGCTTACACATGACATTGGATTTCAGGTTGGTTTAGCAACTGTAGTGGTGGAAAGTGCAGTCACCGCCATGTATATCTGCTTTGCTGAAGACCCTTTATTAGTACGCAGATGGGATGCAGAGTTTTTCGATGAGATGTCGGAGATGCTGCAGCAACGTTTGCAACACCGAAGTGCAAGGGCAAGGCAAGTAATATTGACCAATAGATTCGTTACCCAAATGCAGGAATCAGTGCCAATCTAAATTACTATATATGTGTGCAAAGGAGAGTAGGAAGCAATTGTCTATATTTTGCTCATCTAAAGAATCATGGGCCTAGTTTTCACCTTTTTGTGCACATTTATATATTCTGCTTTCTATGATATTATAGCCTTCTATGCTTCATGTTTGTAAAGAACCATAGCTTTAAGGTTATGATGGACTTGTTATAGGGCGAACCTTTTGTTTGATGATGATATACTAACTCCGTCCAATGTATTTGTCTAGTTTGATTTTTTCGAGTCAAATAAGATAAACTTTGAGCCTCAGTCACACAAAAATTATAATGTATTTTAGTATAAAATGATTTTAGAAAAATGATTTTAAAGTTATTTTTCTCTTCTGTGTGGCCGTTTTAGAGCTTGTTATATATAAAATTATTTTTGATCTGATCTGATTTCAATTAAAATTAGTAAAAACTAATAAGAATAGATTAAAGAGAACAAACTCTTACTCCAACTTCTGCACATGTAAATTTGTTGCAACAATTTGTTGAAAAAACTTGGCACACAATTCTTTATTTGGTAAACGATTCACAGACATTTTACATACAAAAGATATCTATGAGTCTTTTTTTAGGTCAAAAATGATGTCCATGATCCAAATTTCCTTGGAAAACACTGAATGGCTTCAAAGGGTGTTCCAACCTCTTTTTTTATTATTATTTTTTATTATTGTTAAACACATAAGTTCGCAAATGCATTTCCATGAGAACAAAAAATGTCTCTAATCTATGAATAAGAAAGGGTGAGCATCTTTAGAAACATTACAGCTTCGCCAGCTCTATAGCAAAGTCCGGTTTGGATGGATACATGGGGTAATCAAAGAGTGTTAAGTGCGTAATTATTTAGGAAAAAGTTGGGAGAATTTCGCTTGTGACACTATTTTTGACAAACAAAAGACAATAATTGTTTGTGCGAAATAGTCTCTCGTTTGTTTTTGGTGTAAAAAATGGTGTCATAAGTGAGATTCATTCTCAAAGCATTGCCCAAAGAGAACTATAGGCATTACCGGATTTGACACCACTTGCGACACCAATGTACACATAGACAGTGTGAAACTATGACATACATTGGTGTCACAAGTGCCGTCAAAATCGTCGTTCTCTTATATGGTTCCCCTCCATCTATTAACTCGGCATACTTTCCTGCATAAAAAGATCAACCTCACCCGTTATATTAAAATTTAGGGCAATGCAAGGGGTACATCAACATGGGATACCCCATTTATACACCAGGCTAACACAGATACAAATAGACAAACAAATATTTTGTCTGTCTTAGCTTAGTGTATAAAAATGCAGTATCCCATGTTGGTGTTAAATCTAAAATATAATTTTAAGTCGATCAATAGAGAATATGATCAATCCCTAATACATGCAAGATGGTCATCCACTATCTTCCAAAACATTACCTAGAGAGGCTTTCACTATAATAGTGTGACCAACTTACGCAGCACACTCCAACAAAAAGAGGTCACGGGACATTACAAGACAACAAAACTCTCTTCTCGCCTAACCCCACACTTTGAATGTGACCAAATGAGACCATTCACACAACACAAGAAAAACTTCCCGTCCAGTTTTGACTTTTTTCGGTTAACTGTTTTTAATTTTTCACTTATAATTAAATAAAATATATTATATATTTATTAGATAAAGTAATATTTTAAAAATACTTGATATAATAAATCTAATAAAACTATTTTTGTTTCAATGTCTAATATAATTTTCGTTTAATTTGACGTCGAAGTTTCCAGTTTTGATAAAAAATAGTAATCAAAAGTGGACAAATACTCGAGAACGAAAGGAACATTCTATTTGGTCACTACCCACCAATTATTTTTACTCCATACATAAATCCATCACATACTATAATTTTTTTTCCTCTTCTTCTTCTATATTGATTAATCTTCTTCTTCTTCTTCTCCCATCCATGGCTACTATCCACCAATCATTGAAGTTGGCTCTACTTTATATATTCGCAGCATCGTCCCTCAGCATTTGCGTAATTCCAATTAGGGCCATCAACATCGGCGTGGATGCTAATGCCGGCCTTTCCTTGGTAATTATTCATCTATCAAACCCCTTTTTTTTAATCTTTCCCATCATCTCTCTTGTTTGTATAGTTGGCTTGAAGTATATATACTCTCTCCCTCATGTAAAATAACCACCACCATCTTCTTTGGCTTTACGGCTAGAGTTTAAGATAAATATTAGAGAGCAGGGAAAAGTGTGGTTTTCATGCATTTAGAAAAAGAAATAGGGGAATTTACTTAAATATTCACACTATTATTATTGAGTAAATTCCATAATTAATCCTTTATAACAGCGGTTTCTCTATTTAGTTCTCTATTATCACATATTACCATAGTGATTCCTTCTTTTATGGGTATCTTTCCACAGATAATCCTTTTATTGATCTTCTATCATGTTGGTGTTAATTTGAATGCTAAAAGTATAATTTCACAAAGATAATATATCTTTTTTGTCATACACAATTCCAAAGGTTGTTCCGTTTGCGTCGTTTGTGAATTACAGTTACTTTATACTACGACCATAATCTACAAATGTGGTCTTTCGTCGGAATCCTAGCCCACAATCATAGTCATTATTTTTGTGTTATCCGCTTAAACAATATCAGAACACGTCACTAGACATAATGTTGATGTCAAATTATACTTTTAGCCTTTAAATTAACACCAACATGGCAGAAAGTAAAAAAAGGACTATTTGTGGAAAGACACCCTTAAAAAAAGGAATACGAGGGTAATATTTGATAACAGAGGACTAAATATAGAAACCCCCCTATTATAAAGGACCAATTATGAAATTTACTCATTATTATTATTAGAATTATTGCACGATTTCACACAATTATTTCCAAAATTCAATAAATGAAACCACTGTTTCTAGACTTTTATTAGTGGTACATTTTTATCGATGCTCTAATTAACGCTGAGCGGAATAGGTAGAGCTTCACCGTTTATACATGCTAGTAGTATTTTTCTTTATTTTCTGATATGGGGACTCCAACACCCCCCTAAAGTTGTAAACGAGCATGCTTCGATATCATGTTAAAATTTCGGTGGGCCAAGAACAATGAAAAGAGTGTCGGATAAAATTAAGCACTTACATATAAAGTCAGGATCCATTTTCTAATTCAAAAGCTTAAACTAATAGATAAGACTTCACCCTTCTATATATACTATTGTTATTCTTCTTTATTTTTCAACGTGGGAATTCCAACATGCTCCTTATTGGGTGGTACCAAAAATATAAGTACGAAGGTCTAAGCATTTGTCAACACATACCGATTAGACTACGCCTCCAATTTCATTATTTTTATGTTTTTTATTTTGTGTTTGTATTGTTTTTTGTATTTTAGAATTAATTATTTAAGAAATTTAATTTTATTTAGCTATATTTTTTTGGGTTAGGTAATCACTCTCTTTACATAAAATTAGTTTTAATTATGTAATTTTATTTTATTAAACTCTACAAAGAGTCAAACCGAAACTATTAATATATTATAGATGAAGTGTTTAATACTCATTTTAAAATTATTTTGTATTATTGGTTGGAGTTAATTATTTAAATAATTTTTAAAATTAATTTAGATTATTGATTCAATTATTTAAAAAATCATTGTAGTAATAAGTTGTAGTAATAAGTTGAAGTAAGAAAAGTATAAAATTAGTAGAATTGAATATAATGTGGCGCTAATATGGAGGAGAAAAATGATCCAGTAAGAAAAGTATGACGAGTGTGTATACCCTCCACCCAAATATATAAATTATCTCAACTTTGGGAGCAATGACAATATTTATTGGAAGTACTTATGTAAAATCATGCAATTTTGATAGTAATAGTGTGAATTTTTCTCTAAGAAAAAAGAGTAGTAATGGCTTGAGCAACACATGAAATTAAATAGGAATATTGTGAAGAAGTTTCAATTATTTTGATATATAAGAGACAAAATGTTTTAATTTATTTTGAAAGACATGGAGGAATGTAAACTTTTAAAATGGAGATGAAATATAACAAATTAGCTCGTCAATTGTTTTTATATGTTAGATAATACTAATAGTACTCCGCCTACTTTCTCTCTCTCAAAAAGAATAAAATCTTTACTATTCAAAATATTCTGATCTCTTTTGTAAAACTTTTGACATAATTTTAAAATATGTTTATTTTTAATTTATATACCAATCTTTATATTTAGTAAATTTAAAAGTTTAATAATTTGGTTCGTTTTGCATAAAATGTAAAACATTTTGAGATGAAGCGAGTATTAACTATGGTAGTGTTTGTTTATTAGTCAGCTTATATTATTGGATTGATTCTGACATATGTTAAGAATGTTTCCTATGAATACTCTATTGGATCCATATGATTTCTAACGAAATCTATTATTCTATTATTCCAACATGGTATTGGAACTAAAGTCTTATTAAAAACTAACCTAGTCTATCTTCTTTTACGATTGTGCGCCACGTCGCTCTTTATCATTGATGGTCAAATTGCCACAGACCATAACCTCGCCTTCACTTATTCAATCGCTTTCTCTGTCAAAAATATTAAGTGTGCCTATTAGCTACAATCTCTTTTCTCTCTATCCCTAAAAAAGAATTTGTGTGTGTGGGATCGAAGAACTAGAAAATTGTGTTTTTTGAGTTTCTGGAGAGTTTGAGAGCACGAAAGGCAATAGAGAAGCAGAAAATGGCTCACAAGGAGAAAAAAAAGAAACTCTTCTGCTCTTTGCCCTCGCTCCAAATCACGAACACTCTTTCCAGAAAAAACTCATCAAACATACTATCAAGCTCCTTCGTAATGCAACAAATTAAAAAATGTCATGGACCCTCAATCAAACATGCACCTTCAATGACCATATCTCTTCTTTTTTGACGTCATTAGTTACTAGCAGACGTCAGCCTTCTCCCTTCTTAAAGCCTGGATGCATTCAACGTGCTATAACCAAAGATGCACCTCTTTGGATTTGGTTCCAACTCTTATATATCCTGGATCCAATTAAAGTTGGTGTTTTATCTTCACCCTTTTTAGTGTTTCAAGTTCCTAGCTAATGTGCAAGCATCCTCTTGCTTTGCCACGTACACTCCTCAACTTGAGGAAATGCGAGACAACAACAACTATAATAATAATAACAACAATAACAACAACAATAATAATAACAATAATAACAACAATAATACTATTAATTAGGTTCTTACTTATCCTTGTCAAGGAACCAATTCAATCAAAAGCTCAAGCAGGCGTGATCTCTTTGAGCCATGCACATGAAACCTTAATTTTTTTAAACTGGGTGGTGGTGAGTTTCGAACTCGTGACCTCTTGGTCATATATCAAGGTTCTGATACCATATCAAGGAACCAACTCAACCAAAAGCTCAAACTTGTGGTTGTGGCCCATGAATGATTGTTATGTACTCTAACAAACCTGTGTTAGGAATGTTTCGTATAAATACTTTGTTGTCTCCTACACCATTCTTAAGAAAATTTATTATTCTATAATTCCAACATTATCTATTTACTATATGGATTTACTATTAATATGATGTGAAATTTGCAACAAATAGCACTTAAACGTATGTCCTTTTCCTGTCTAGCACTTTAAGTTTTTTATTCCTTAAATAATACTTGAATAATGTCTAGTAGCGGGAACAATAATGTCCAGTGATGGTTGACATTTAGTTTGAACAATGTCCCGTAGCGATGGACAATTAATTGAACAATGACCAGTGGACATTGAATAGTGGTACTACATTATTAGAAAATAAAAACATATGATACTAAATCCGAAAAAATCACTATATTTTAATACTATTTAGAAAAATTCCGCTGATATGATAGTTACATAATATAAATGGTTTTGGACGCTTAAAAAAAGAAAGTAAAAGGTGGATATCTTGGAGGACTCTTTTTTCTTCTAGTTTTAGACCTGTAATGATAATGTCTCTTTCTGAATGTAATTTGTTTTTTCTTTTTATGCATGAGGTTTTTAGGCGAAAGAGTGTAGTAGAACTTGTGAGTCCAAGTTCTGTGGAGGTAAGAAATTAAATACTCCCTTTTATCTCATATCTTTTTTTTCATTAGATTTTTTCACGATCTCGAATTTAATATTTTGACTATTAGTATATCTAATTTAATATTTTGACTATTAGTATATCTATTCATATTAAATTTATATCACAATTCGATTTATTACTTTTGTTATTTGTTGTCAAAGTTTAAGAGAAAGATATTAACCGGAGGGAGTAGAGAACGAGCATACTCCGTATACTCTTTCCATTTTTATTTAACTGTCTGTTTCGCTTTTCATGTCAAATATTTGACTAACTATATATCAAAATATACAATGAATTAAAATATAAAAATTGTACCAAATTATAGGTATCGAAAAATATTTTAAATATATTAGTACTTTTAATACTCCCTCCGTCCCACTTTAGATTACAATATTCCCTTTTAGTTAAAATTAAGAAAGAATCAAATCAAATTTTTTCCCCCCAAATTACCCTCCAAATCCCCCCAAATAGTGTGAATAGTGGCTGGCAGAAAAGAAAAGGAGAGGGTAAAAGAATCAAATCACTATAAAGTTATTGACTTTGTAATCCTTTTTGGAACAAAAATGTGATGGAACATTGTAATCTATTTCGGGACGGAGGGAGTATTTTTTTGCTAATATATTTTAAGAGATATTATTGTTGGTCAAACTTTAAGTTCGAAAAGCGAACAGGACAATTAAATAAATAGGAACGGAGGAAGTATATTTGAATGATTGGGTACGTTTCACGTATGTTGGTTAAGGCCTTGTTTGGGAACAACATTTTCGATTAGCGTTTTGGATAAAAGTTAAATGGTGTAGATTAGTTCTGAAAACGCTAAGACTACTGCCAGATAGCCTTTTCAAAACGCTAACGGCTAGTAATCTCTAACGGCGATGCCAAACGGGGCCTAATTAATTGTATTATACGGGCGATATTATTATTAATTACCTAAGCTCTTTTTAATTAATTAATGAACTAATTAATTACAACTTGATTGAATTGTATTTGTACGCATGAAACGAATGAATTGAAGTGCCACCGTTCCTGAGATATGGAAAGTACTGTGGGCTACTGTACACGGGATGCCCCGGGGAGAAGCCCTGTGACGGCCTTGATGCCTGTTGTATGCTCCATGATGATTGCATTCGTATCAATGACAGTAAGTTTTTTTTTTCAATCATTCAACCAGAGTTAGTTTTTCTGTGATCCTAAAATTTACAGGTAAAATGCGCAACGTCTCGTACTTTTTATGGCCTCTGGCAAGTGTGTCTTTTTTTTGTGTCAAAGACCCAATTCTTTTACGATATGAATGTACTAAAGGTCAATAAAACAAGCATGTACCTTAGGACCACATAAGAATTTGTCATTCAACGATTATGCATTTTTTTTAGTTTTTTTATGCAATTTAACCCCGAGCTTTTAAAAAGTTGCACGGATCCCTCCTGAATTTTAAAAATTGCATCAGTACTCCCTAAACTTTTAAAAATGTTGCACCAATGGTCCCTTTGCGCTAGATTTGAGAGTGCATTAATCACACGTTCATCCAGTCCAAGTTGCGGATTCATCTAAAGTCATATATCACACGTTAATTCTACAATATGCTCATCCCACCAAACATTATCTTCTACTCCCTCCGTCCCTTAAAAAACTTCCCATTTTGACTTTTTAATGAATTAAGGGGAGTGTATTTTGGTGTTGACTTTCCAAAAATTCCTTTTGATGTGATGGATAGGGTAGGATGTGATGTGTAGATTAATAGAAAAAAAGTGTGATGGAGGTAAAAGTTACTTTTTAATAGGAAAAGACAAGTGTTTTTTGGGACGGATGAAAAAAGAAAGGAGAAGAATTTTGTGGGACGAAGGGAGTATATTTTTAATATCTTTAAACGTTGGATGATTATTCTCGATTTAGGGGCTGTTTGTTTCAGCCTCTTAATGGTTCAGATGTCTGAATGGTTAAGAGATTTACCTCTGAATGATTAAGTATTATACAGAGTCTGAATGGTTAAGAGCTGTTATCTGAATTGATCAGACATTTGCCTCTGAATAGTTAAACAATATACTAGCTCTTAATGGTTCAGACCTCTTACTGGTTCAGCACTTAATGATTCAGACCTCTTACTGGTTCAGCACTTACCCATTCAGAAGTTGCCAAACAGCCCCTTAGTCATATGTAACCAAATTCAAAGGCCAGACATTAGTCGATAAATCCCGACATCAATCGATCGATCTCTTCTTCATCAATTCTTGACATCTTCATCAAGCTGAAACACGGATATTTATGAGCGTGATTAACACCTTCCCACGTCTAGTAAACAGGAACCATTGATGCAATATTTTTACAAGATCAGGGTAAATTGGTGCAATTTTTAAAGTTTAGAGTAAATTCTTTTCTGGATAGTATTAAATAATAAGATGTGGTTAATTAATGATGTGATGTGATTGTGGATGCAGACGACTATCTAAGCCAGCATTGCAACACGAGTTTTTTGAAGTGTGTGACGGCATTCAGTAAATCCAATGCTCCCACCTTTAAGGGAAACACTTGCCATGTCGGGGAGGTGGTCAACATCATCACCGATGTCATGGAAGCCGCCATTCTTGCCGGAAAAATCTTCAAGAAACCTTAATTATATTACCTTCCTTCCTTATTAGCTTCACATTTCATTTACAATAATAACAATAATAATACAATGCACATCTTCAACCTTTCACCTTTATTTATTGTTAACTTTATTTCGAGAAAAAAAGGGGTATTTTACTATTACACTACTTGCAGTATACTCTCAGTCAGTCGTTTGGTTTGGAGTCCAATGCTCCTGCCGCTACAAGTGCAATTGCTAGTTTGCTCGACCAGTTTGACGTATTTTCAATTACAAATGCATATTAACAAGCGCCGTAAACGCATATAAAATCATGCAATTGTTAAATAACAAAAAGTCGAGAAGTCTAAGAAATGGCTCCACCTCATCCATATATAATCTCAGGAATTTGGTAGAGCATCAAGAAATAACTTCTTTAATTTCTCTTTGACCGTCACCGATATTGTACCATGTAAGTCTACTAATCAGCTCGTCTTCCATGTACTACATGGTTAAAATCTGCAAGATACACCTTCACCATTGAATATATCTCTTGTAAGACATACATTCTTTGGTCATTGTTCATTACGTCTTTGAGTTGTACAGTCATTTCCCAAAGAACGTGTTTCATTCTCACGATTGTGTCCATAGTGGTTGTGAGACGTGCGTCTCGTTCAACGAGAGTGTCAAAAGAACTCGGCTTGAGTCCTCCAGTTGAAGTGGCTCTAGCTACTTCACTTACACACATAAGTAATTCTTTTGAGAGTATCTTGATTACTCACTTAGACTATCATTTTTAATGTTCAAGAATCATTAAAAGCATATAACATATGTTCTCATCATTTTCAGAAGTAACTGTTTTGGGGCAGGAATGAGAACTACCCGAGTTCCGGCTCCACCCCCACTATGACTATGTTTCAATAAGTTGTCTCGTTAAACTTGGATACCAATCACAATGCATTTTCCTTCATAGAACATTCCTGCCTCAACGGCTTTAAGTTCATTCATGTTTTTCTTGAACACTAGCAACCCTATTACAATGTAATATCTGTTCATACATTTTCAACCTATTCTTTCGCTGGAGATCGAACACGTGACCTCTCATTTAGGAGAGTCATAGCGGTGTCATTAGACTACAAGGACCTTGGCTTAAGTTCATTCATTTAATTTGTTGCCCCTTGTTAAGAAGCTAAGGTCCATCTATTTTTGTATGGACCTTAGGTTCATATTAGAAGCACTCTACTGCGACCCTCAAACTCTGTCATGTGAGCAATGATATCCCAATCCGTTAGAAAAAAAAGGCGTTTTAACCACAAGACAAAGGGAGTGATTGAAAACTACATAACTTCTCTTTCATCTCCATACATTTTAGACACAATTTTATTATTTGTATTCAACTGTGTAAAAGTCAAAACCAAACACAAAATATAAACGGAGTACTAAATTTTAAAAAGAAAAATAAAAAAATTAACTAAAAAAGATGGAATGCTAAATAACTTGGAGTTGAAGTCTATATTTACACAGTATATACTTATTATTTGTTTCCTTTTTTAAAAAAATACATACAGAGAACTCATAAAAGATTGTAATTTCTATTTTTCTATGATGTCCTAAAAGAAAGCAGGGTAAGGTCCATTCTCCATGCTTTGAAATGAACCTCTATCCAGGTAATCTTCTGAGTATTTGCTAATGTTTTACCGGTTTCTATCGCGGATGAGAAATTTGACGCAGCGAGTGCCTCGGCAATCCATTATCTCAATACACTCCTGCAAATCCGCGTCGTTCACAAGCATCACCCACTCATCTTCATCATCAAGGTACTTGAGCTGGAATGTCCCATTCTGCAGCTGAAACCTCCTGGCAACCTCTTGGTAGATCCAAGAACACCCCGCAGAGCTCTCAAACTTGAAACGGACCGTGTCTTCCTTGTATGTGGCTTTTACTGTGATTTTGGAAATGCTGTCTTTCGCCTTCGAGTGCTTCTGTTCTTCTCCAAAGCTTTGTGGGCTTGGGCAACTGCCATTCACAAATGATCCGGATCCGGATCCGTTTGAAGAATCAGTCATGCTTGAGGAAGTCGGTTGGGTAATCTTTGTCATCTCTGCTTCATTCTCAACACCCATGGAACTCGACGATTTAGAAACAACAAAATGAGAGTCCGTGTTCTTGGGCTTGAGGACACTATTGCTTAAACCCCACCCATTTGAAGATCTTGGGCTAAGAATATTTGATGGAGGTAGTTTTTTAACTTCCACAACAGAATCTTCTTCCATTTTTATGGCAGGACTTCCATCACAGTCACCACTAAAGGAAGGTGGAGGTGGTGCATCAGGGATGGGGGAACCCTTTTCTTTGGAGGTAGAAACATCTTTGCAGGGAAAGAGAACCCCTTTCGGAGGGTCGAAGTCCTTAATAACGGCGCCAGCAGCCAAAAGCCCTCCTGTGCTTGGATCAAATTTTAATCCTCCTTCCACACCTTGGACGGATTCAAGTACCGTTTGTATTTTCTTTAAAGAGCGGTTTACTTTGTTTATCTTGCGGGATGGCCATCTTGAAATGCCATGGTTTCTACATATCCGCTTCAGTGTTGTTGGACAGACTGCAAAAGGAAAAAAAAAGACACAATTGAGCAAAGTAAAGAAAGCATTCTGATAGAGGAACATAATTTAAATTAATTATCACCTTGTGTGTGTGTGTGTGGGGGGGGGGGGGGNAACTGAATTTTACCTCTGCACTACAAGTTTAAGGTTAGACTATAACTGTAACATGTGTAAGTGTGAAAAGAGTGCTTCTAAGAGATCAGGAAAGGAGATAACTATTTGATGGTAAAGAAATGAATACAGAAATATGCTAATTATACACATAATCTAGAGGGTAGGGTTGCTAATCTTATTAGAGACGAGCTAAGTCCATTAAGGTCAGGGTAAGACCCTAATTACACAGCATTAATATTATACTCCCCTCAGGCAGAAGCATATGCATTATATGTTACAAGCCTGTTTACGTATGTACCCAATACAAGGACCTCACAGATTTAGTATAAAAAAATGCATCTCTTTCATGAAATGAGAATTGACTTCAATATGTTTTTATTACTTCACAAAACATGGGGTTTGAAATTTGAGAATGGCCCTTCTATGAAATGTCTGGTCTAGTAATTGTGATATAATGTAACCTCCAAATTAATAATCTACTCCCTCCGTTTCAATAAACCCTTCCTCTTTCGTTTTTTTGCATTGCCCCAAAACACTTCCACTTTCTAATAAAAAACCACTTTTACCCCTACTTTTTTCATACCCTACATATCACATCATACTTTTTTACTAATAATCTAACTATCACATCTTACTTTTACCCCTAATATCAGGGGCAAAATTGGAAAGTCAACCATAAATATACTTTCCTTATTTTGGCTAAAAGTCAAAAGAGGAAGGGTTTATTGAAACGGAGGGAGTATCTTTCTAGATCACGAACTGGCTCCCCCTGTTTTGGCAGATATTTGATGTAAGGATCCATAGAACTTTCTATAGGTTTGTGTCAAACATCCATGTTTCCTCTAGAATATCCAAGGCATATTCTCTTTTTATGATGACTTCAATTCCAAGAAAATAATTTAGCTTCCCCAAATCCTTGGTTTGAAATCGACAAAGATGTGTGTTTTTTTTAATTTTGTGAGACCTTCATCATTGCATATTTGCATGTGATTACAATGTCATCGACATACACGACACGATAAATGCATCTCCCTTTTGGCGTGTCGATAAAACACAAAAATGGCAATCTCACTTCTTTTCATGCCAAATTCACTTATTACAGAGCTGAATCGTACGAACCAAGCTCATCGAGAGTTGTGTCCATAAAGAGAGCAACAAAGTTTCTGTACCAATGCAAACTTTTCTAAGCAACAAAAGCAATAGGTTGCTCCATGCAAGAGGAAGTATACATGGATATGTATACTTCCTCTTCAAGATCTTCATAAAGGAAGTTCAATGGCCTATGGCTTTTGAGATAATCAATCGTAAGTAAGATTTGAGTAAACCCTTTTGCAATAAGCTTGGTACCAATCACCTACAGGCTATAACCATTAACCAAAAACCTTTTTTACCAAGAGGAAAGGGGACCAAATCCCATGTATCACTGAAATGCAGACATTCATCTCAGCCATCATGCCATGATAACAACTTGGATCTCAAAGATCTTGATATATGTTTTTAGGAATGGACACGTTAAGGTACAAGATGGGACTGCAGAGTACGTGAACATATTGCAAATCTTGGTTGCCACTGCAGAGGCGAGAACCTGGTTGGGAGATAGAGCAGGATTTGGAGAGACTAGATCTGGAGCATACAGTAGGGGACTTGTCATATGTGACAGCGCAAAAATACAAAGAGAACATGATAAGCGTCACATTATAAGCAAAAAACAAACTGTGTCTAAACTCTGGATAGCATCGGTGCCCCTTCTATAACCAAGAGTAGCCCAAAAAAGAGAAATAAGAGAGTAGAGAAACCGGACCGCACCCATTAGATCCAACCAAATAGTAAGGTGTGCACTATGCAGGCAGGATATACCGAGGTCTTACCTTTACCAAGAGGAGTAGAGAGGCAAATTCTGAGAAATACTGTGAGTGCAAAAAACACCTACAGCACTCGCACGACGCCCCTGCAAAAACTATATAACCCTTATAAGGCGTCTCCAACCTCACCAGCTCATCTCATGTTTTGTGCGCCCTACCTTGATGTAGTGAGCACATCAATATAATTTAACCCATCTTAGGCATGGGCCATGTTGTTTACATAGCAAACACACCCAAAGGCCTATGCCGTAAGGTACCTAAGGCCTTTCACCAAGCTCCTAAAAAGATGGGGATTGTCAAAAGGATCATTGGCACCATTGGTGGACAAAGTGGCGATGAATTAATCCACTGGCATGATAGGAAAGAAAAGAAGATTGTCTATGCCGTTTAGAAAGTATTTGAGGTCCCCAAGATTTTTCATCTGAAATTCATGATGTATGTTTTTAAGAAAATCCTAATTAAGGTAAGGTGAGCTGCCTGTAACCACAATATCATCGACAAAGACAAGCATAATAATTATTCCACTGGAAGAGTGACTGATTAAGAGACGAGTATCATGAGTTGTGGTGGTAAACCCTTGGGCGGTAAAAAACAAAGACAACCTATGATACTTACCACTCATAGTGCCTGTTTGAGACCATAAAGAGACTTCTTCTATTTGCACATGTATCGAGGATGGCGCAAATCTATGTAGCTAGGAGGTTGTGTCATATACATATCTTCCAATAATTACCCATGTAAGAAGGCATTAGAAACATCAAGCTAGTGGTAGAGAGCCTAATTTGGAGAATTATAGTTTCATAACTTGAAGATGGATGGCCAAGATGATGATGCCATTGTTGAGAGCTGACTCATGTGGACCAAACTAAGAGAGAGGACATAGGCACAAACAAGGAAGACACTTGAAGTTGGATGGAAGTGTGTTAACTGTTAAGTTCAAGTCCTTGCTCACAGGGCCTCTGTTTTTCACCTGATGTGTTTTGTTGTCTAGGATTTAGAATTCCTTAGAACTATATATGAGAGTGCAGTTACTGCATGGGTGAAACGATGAACAGAAAATAGATTAGATTTAATGCTTATGTATCCAGAAACCAGTTCTCATTGTTTACAGTAGATTAAGAACCATAAAACGCTTGTGGAGAAGAGGAGGAAGATCGTACGTATTCAGAATCAAATTGATGCTTGTAGACCTTAGCTGCATGGTTAAAACTTCAACATGTCTAACAGATAACGGAATCACGATGTGGCCTGTGTCCTCACCCAGAAGACACTTTGTGCACCATTGCCACGCCTGCAGGAAGAACTATCACGGCCCCAAAAACATCTGTTTCGACCAAACGATGCATATAAGGCTGTGATCACTCGAGTACCCTAAATCATGGTGGTAAAGTTTTGTTCCATACTTCCATTTGAGCGTTCATTTTTTCAGAGAGAAGCCGTGAAGACACTTGGGCATAAGTGACTGTTAATGGAGGCATTTCTAATGGCAGGCCATGAAGAACACACAAAATAACATCTTGTTCACGCATATACAAGCCTGAGCGCGATCTAAATCAGTGACAATATCATGTTATCAACAACGAAGTGGAGATATTTTTGCATAGAATGAACACCTTTTATATTATTGTGTAATTCGTCTGTGAGCTGGAAGAGATGTGTACTAGATAGAGCTATTCCGAAGTTGCAGACGATTCCAGCCAGCAGCTGTCGTATTCTGGACTTCTGGCCATGGATATGATTTTGGACAAGCTGGCTGACAATTGCAAGGAGACATGCACACAATTGTGCAACAATAATAGACCACAGCTCGGACTCTGGATTTTGAAGAACATGCAGTGGCGCATACCACATGAGTTGCTAGCCAGTGAAGGGGAGTTCTATACAAGGTCGCCCTAGAGAAATGAAGGTGTTGATGTGGGTAGTGTCGTCAACTGACCACAAGGGAAAAATTTAGACTGACAATCAAAAAAGACTAGTTTGACCGGCGTGTGCCAGTGGTTGGCGGCGATATTCGAGCTCTAGGACTGGCAGAAGGATTCAATTATGATGGTGGGGATACCTTATAAGATTGCCGGATTTTTATTAGGCACTCAACAATGGCTGGAATTTAAGGAACAAATATAGCTTAGGAAAGAGGCTCTAATATCATATGAAAATACAAAATAGTGATTAATAGAAAATTTATGAAAAAAGGGCAGAACCTGCTGCTTATACACATAATCTAGGGTTTATGGATTCTATCCTGATTAGGGTAGGGCTAACCCCACTAAGGTCAGGGTAAGACACTAATTATACAACATTAATATTTTACCATAAGAAAGGTAAGAGTCCAAACAATTTGATGATACAAGGCACTTACCACCAATGGCTTTAGCAGCATCCTTGAGACTTCCAGAGAAGTACTGCTGAAGAACACTTAAGCTAACATGCTTCTCTACCGGACTTCTTTTTTTCTCCATCTGCCTTCTTAATTCAATCTTCTGTGGAGCAATGCAACAAAGTTGGGGTTACTATGAGAGGCAACACAATGAATTGAAATTATATGCATGCAATATTATGGCATATTTTGGAAGGAAAAGTGTGGGAATATGGCAGGGGAGGGGTGCTCATATTCGGTGAACATTATGTCCACAAAAGGCACGTACTCTAAATATCCACCAAAGTGATACAAAGAAATGTAAGGAAAAAAAAAGATTGAATAGTGTACCTCTGGATGAGTACTGTTAGAACCCACTCTAGATCTCTCTGAACCAAGTACATTCAAATGCACCTCATCTGAAGGATCCAAGGTGTTACCTTGCAGTGAGTGTTGTGACAGTGTAAATGGTGGTAAGTTTGGAGTAGGTGCATTCAGTAGCCCAAACATAGAACCCTCACACCCATTTAATTCTGCATCAGAGACTGTCCTCAATGTCTTACAAACCCGTTGCATGGTACGGGACAGATTATTCAAAAGGAGCTGTTGTTCAGTACTTCCATCCATATTCAAAGGAAGAAAAAACTCCAAAATATAATCATCACTGCCGGTGAAACTGCTACGTAACCTAATGGAAACAGCAGCATTTAGGCCAAACTTTCGTGCATGATGAACAAGTGGGTACTCACTTATGTGGCATTCCTTCACATCAGGGAAAAAAAAAGGGTGATTGGATTGAAGAGCTTTCCCGGCAACTCCTTGTCCTTCCTCAAGGTAATGTTCCATGCATGCATGTACAAATCCTTGCATCTCCTTATCACTGACATAACTAGCACTGCTCTCAACACAAAGAATGTTTTTTTCAGTTGAGTGTGCATTGCTCCCTCTACAACGCACTCTGCTAACTTCATCAGTGTCTCCTCCTCCTGTATAACTACAAGGAATCCATGTGAGAGCGAGAGGTAGTGTATGTGCATGACATACAGCTCGCAAAACATCAGATATCTCAACTAAAGCAGTTTTTTGATTTGTTGAGAGACACTGCAATCAAGAACGAACAAAATAAAAAGTCTAAACAAGAACATTTCAGTGCAAATCAAATGAAGCCTGTTTTATTGTTTTTTTGTTTCATAAATGCACGGAAAATAAAAAAATCCAGGAAAAACCTGAGGATAGAGTCGTGGAGGTGCGATACTCCTCAAGTTCACCACCTGTAAATGGTCAAAAAGAGAAATTAGAAATTTTAATTTGGAAATGTGGAGAATGATCATCAAATAGTGTAAGCATACCATCAATTTACAGAAACAAACCCCTTTGGAAGCACTACCACTCTTAGAACCTAGCCACAAATTCTTTCTTTTCACTTTTAGCTATATGCACCATGATTTATGATGCGTTACAATTTCTCTTTTTTGCAAGCTATGGCAATTACCACTCATTCAAGACTACACAATCACTTCAAGACTACACAATCACTAGCATTAGTACTTGACATTTCACAATGTTTAAAATATTTCTTTGAGACATCAAATAACTAAAATATGAGAATTTAGTATTCGAGGGTCATGTTACATGATTTGCAGGTTGGTTTATAACAATTATGAATCATGAAGATAGTAGCAAAAATCTGGACTCATTGCCATGTCATGCTATTATCCATGTATGTGGAAATAACATGTGATGAGTACTGTTTCAAAAATTTCATCTCATTATTCTTACTTAAGAAGATTGTAAGAGGTAGGGCATCTGGCATAGAACATTGCTACTATGATGTTTTACATCATGTCATAGTGCCACTGACCTCAACTAGTTGGCATCCAAGTGCTTATAATGAAGATGATGATACAAAACACTAGGAAAATAGCCAACCTGAAGTGCATGGCAAATATTTTCTATTTCGGAATCAAAATCGGGTTTATCCTTCACTGTGACAACTTCAAGTACGGCACAGCATGATGTTTCAACTGGATCGCCCTCAAAAACAGGTAACGCAATACAGCCACGCACTGCATGCTTATGAGCATGATGTATGCGTAAATACTCACCCTCTCTATAGTATCCAATATTTGATGTCCACTCTGGAATCCTTGAGGAGAATACACGGCCAGGGAGTCCCGGGGAAGAGCCTGGTTTGGTGACTGCATCAAAAGTGAAATTTCTTGACACTTCACGATATCCAGCCAGCATGTGGTCAAGTAGATATGGCTGTTCATAAGTGCTTAATAAGTACCTATCATCCTTTCTCATTGGAAGCCAAACTTGTGCCAAGATGTCTCCACCTGATGTCTCTTTAAATAACCTCAGAGCTGCAAGCAATTTCGCTGGAAGTTGTTCAGAAGGTGATTTTAGGATCACAGAATTTCCAAAAGCCTCAACGGCATCCTGATGGCATTGATTCTTTGTGTCAGCCACTGAACCAGTCACGCCAATAGAACTACGGGAAGAAGATCGTAATTGATCATTCTGTTGAAAAGTTATTTCTTCTCCCCGGTCATCTAAACTCCCCGTAAAATCAGCAGCATCCATTGGGAAAGCCCCACTGTTTGGTTCAGTATAATTTAACCCATCAAATGGTGCAAATCCCAATGGGGTATGTGGCGAAAATGCATATGAGGCAAGCATTTGATCCATGGAATCAGGACTATTGCACCATCCCACATATGCATCCAAATTCAAAATGTCCATAGCAGTGACGTTAAACGAATCTTCTGCTGCAGTTGAGCACTTTGTGTCATTTAAGGACCCTTCATCTCCATCCATCTGACAGTAATGTTTACACCTCTTTCTGCTTTCGGCTCACAACTCACAGTAAGATTCAGTGGAAACCAATCAGCGAAATGCTAGAAAGCTCTCAGCTGTCTCACAAGGATAAATCTGTCCCTCAAATCTTTCAACAGTAGCAGCTCAAGAACCCAGTATCGTAACATCAAGTTCATCTACACAAAATTCCACAAAATTGAACAAATTATCCAATCCTAGATTGCCTGCAATCCCACAAACCCAATTGACGCTGAGTAGCATTCATACAGAATTCAGAAACAAGAGACAGAAATCATCAGTAAGGCAATTTTTCAAAAAAAAAAAGTTCATGGAAATTCCAGCCGGATTCAGAACTGCAAAGAAAAACCCAAACATCCCAGAATTACTAGTCTAAAGAAAAGACCAAGACATGACCCACTTTGCAAATGGAACCACGGAGCAGGGAAAGTGCCCAGATTCGAAAGTTGAACTTTTTAGGGATGAATAGGAAGAAGGAAGCTATAGAAGACCCCAAACCCTAGTCATCGTTATTATTGATCAAGAGAAGTAGTTCGTGCTGCTTTCTACTTATCGAAGAGAACAAGAGGAGCTGAGCTCACTGTGAACAGAAAATTGAGAGATTTTATGGCTTTGGAAAGTGGGCGAAAGGGGCCGCGGACCATACGTGGAGTTTCATCGCTAAATATAGAAATACTGCGTGGCAGAGGCAGTTTACATTTCCAGATCCTGTGGAGTTATTTAATCGTGAATGCTCAATACTAGTTCCTCCTATAATGATCTTCTCATATAGCATTATTCCAACTTCACGAGAATTTATATTTATTTGTGTTTTTTCATGGCCTATATGATAAAATAAAATATTCTTGTCACCACTTGTTTTGTTGAACTTTTGGTGTAGTTTTTAAATATGTATGTTTTATTTTTTATTTCTATACCAATATTTAAATAAAATAGATTGAAAAAACTTGGGATTTTTCTTCGTTTTGCGAACCGGGAAGATTATTATAA